TAAGGGCGTTCCACTATAGGAGAAGAAACATGATTTGATGCAGATGTTGAAGCTGCTCCAATCATTTATATATCTTCACTTATTGCCAATCTTATTGCTCCTTGTGGTAGTAAATTGAGTTGATGCATCGCAAGCATTAACTTCCTCAATTGATCTTGCATTTGTGCCATTGCACTCTTCATTTCAGCAAGTTCTGCCATGATAATACTTAAAAAAGAGAAGATGTCTAATATCGCTCAAGATAAATAGAAGAGAGGACTTGAGAACAAAGAAAATACTAAGGACAATATCAGTTTAGAAGAGGGTAATCCGCAACTTCTAATATGCTTGTGTCTTATCAAGAAAAAAGAGTAATCCACTCTTAATCAAGATTAGACAAAGCTCTGATATTGTAAGTGTATTCTAGTCAATCTGTCAAGGACATGAACATGATAAAGACAAATAAACGAGTGAGACTTCTCTCATAGAAAGATGAAAAAATAGAAACAACTTGATATGTATATTGAGAAAGAAATTAGAATAGCTATTGCAAAAAGCCAAGAAAATTAGAGATCCTTGAAATTAGACTGGAAGCAAGAAAGGAGTTGATAAGAATGAAGAAGGCTTCACTCTTGTCTCTATATATACTATCTTACTAGGAGCTATGTGGCAACATTCTATAGGACCTCCAATATGTGTTGACTTTATAAGACACATGCCTAGATTTACAAAGTAAGTTTTTCTATGTGTGGGCCACATAGTTAGCTTAGTCTTCAAGCTATCAACATGTGTGGCACATGGCCAACTTGTTCACTACGTTTCTAATCCCAAAAAGTCAATTAAAGACACCTACAAAATCAAAGCAATGTCTATGAAGCTTCTAGGAAGCTTCCATATTAAATACTATAGGATTTACTTACTTTTACCTACTTTTACTTACTTCCATCTATTTATATATGTAATTATTGGCTTATATGCATATGTCCATGACACATATATATTATTTTATCTTCATAATTCTACAATATTATTTTTTAAATAAAAAAAATACTTTATTTTTATTAATGACTTTTAGTATTGAATATATATATATATATATATATATATATATATATATATATATATATTTTTCTCTCTTTAGTGTATATTATAAATTATGTAATTTGTGGTTTTTAAAAACCATTTCATCAACCTAGTTGGTAGCAATATTAACATCTATGACAATGATGATTATTTGTGAGCAAGGATTATACTTCAATATAACGATATTTTAACTTAAAATCCATATTTTGTTAGAAAAAAACCTTATTGGTTGTATTTAGAATTTTTAATTCTTAAACAAGGTACTAAGATTCACTAATCAAGATTTTAATAAGTATAAAGTTTTTATTTGAATAATTATATTATTAACTTATTTATCAAAATATCTAATTATTTTATTTATTGAAATCACTAATAACAAACTTAGAATATTATTTTTGAAAGTAAAGAAAACATTACTACACTAAAACTTTATAAATTCAATAGCTGCAAAATTTGATAAAAATCTATTATCTAATATTTATTTGAGCTCTTAGACAAAAATTAATATTTAATTATTTAAATATGTTATTTATTCTCTACTTTTTCTTTTTAAATCTATTTTTTTTTTCAATATGCAATATTAATATTAATAAATATTTTATTATATTATTTTGTTAAAATTTGAAGATAGATATGTATAAAAAAAAACTTAAGATACGTTTGAAAATCATAAAACAAATACAAGTTTTAATGCAATGAAATAAGGAGTCTAAAGATTAGATTATTGGAAGTTGCTAGTCTAACTATTACATTGACTCTTATAGATTAGTAGATTATAAATAACTAGTTGATTAACTCTTCACATCAAGGCTATGTTAAAGGAAATTCATAATAGTTTTAGTCCAAAAATTACCTCACTTAAAATGAGAGCAATGTGCCTAATTAAGGCATAATTGTATTGATGTATGATAAAACTTTTCAATCTAAAGCTTTATTTATAAAATCATTTTTCAATCAATTTTTTTTATTGATATAACTTTGTATTGTAAATTTTATTTATTGATTATTAGGTTCAAAAGAATAGTTCAACACCCTTGTTCATTCTAATTATTCTAATTTATTCTAATTTTAGAATAAATTGAATTACTCTTAAGAATAAAAAAAATATTTAAAGCATTTTAATTAAATTTTAATTTTCAATTTATATTGTTCTCTTTTTTAACAAGAACAAAGTGTGCTTTTATTGTACCTCAACATAGTTTACTAAGCCATATACCTATAAAGTGTTTATTTCAACTACTTATTTTTATTTTCTTTATATCATTTTAAATAATTAATACTCCCACATGTATTTTTTGTGTATTTATTAATTTATAAATTTTAAATTAAGATCTCAATTTTATTTTCTTTTCAATATATATATATATATATATATATATATATATATATATATATATATTAATGTGGTTTACTAATAAAAAAATTTATATCAATAACCTTACGTCCTACTTAGATTGTATAAAAAACTAAAATCAAAAAGATTGGTTGGGTGCATTTTAATTTATACCTATATTCATATAGTAAACAATAATAAAAATCTTTAAAAGTAATCAACTTCATCCATTAAGAAAGCTATCATAATTTCTATAAAATACAATTTAAAAAGTTCAAAATAAACATAACAAACTTAATTGTATTTTGAATAAATGTTTTTGTTTAATTATTCCTTAAATTGAAGTGCAGTGTAAACATATAATGTTTAAAAGTTCATAAAAAAACATTGAATAATTTTTTGTATGCATATTGAAATAGGAGCAATAATTGTTAGTTGAAAATAAATCAATAGAATTGATTCAGGAAACTTCAAAATAATATCAAAAAAATTAAATTATATTAAATTACAGAAAAATCAAAAAGGTAAAATAAAATATTACATTTTCTCTACTTTAAATAAAACACAGAACCACACATAGATAGAACATCAAAGAATAAGTTCATTTACAAATGAGTAAATTATACATGAAATTTAGCATGCATCACTGTAGAATAGATAAATAAACTTTGTGATAAGTTATTGGTTGGTTGTTGACAACCTTGAGAATTAGACTGATGGTTAGGGAGTTTAGTTGGTAATAATAGGTTGTTAGTGGAATAAATGGTTAAGAATTCAAAGGGTCATAACCTTTGGAATCCACTGGCCGAGAGATCATCTTTTTGGAGGAATAAATAGGTTGAGGATAGTAAGCCGAGGGCCAGACTATGAGAGTCTTATGCGAGAATAAGCTTAATGCTACCTCTTTGTTTTCTTTGCTTTTATTATTTGCTTATAAAGAATTGTGATTGATAGAAGTATTGTTGAATTGATAGTCGTAGAATGGATTATGTATTGAATCAAGATGGAAGTAGTAAGCCTTGGTGTTTTGTAGTTTGATAATTGATTTCAAATAGCCAAAGTATAGTCAATTGTGATACTAATAGACCCAATTTATATAACCAGTCTTTCCCCGTGTTCGAACCTACGTCTATTAGTTCAATTGCTTTGGTATATCGAAGCTTGAATGCAACAAAAACAACAATCACTAAGTTTAAAATATTGTATTTGAAAATCAGTTTTTTAGTTTCAAACTCTACAGTAAAAATCAAATGAAAAATATTTGAAAAATAATATCATTTAAATCTTTTACAACCAGTAGTTTGGCTTATTAAACCTCTCTTTTTTAGTTCTTAGGATTTCTATAACACTTTAGGTTTTTATGAAATCATAAAAATAACAACTTTTAGAGTACTAGAATTTTAATTAAAATAATTATATAAGGAGTTTATATACATATATGTAATCATTGAGATTTACTTTACTTGCACAATTCACCAAACAATAAATATTAATTGAAAAAACATAAAGTCATGTTATGTGTTAACAAAATCATGTCAAAATATCTTAAATGAAACCCATTCTTTCTTTCTTTTTAAAATAATTATGAATATAATATCCATTTATTCTTATTTTCACTTTATTCGTATCTTTTCAATTCGATTTTTTTTCTTTCTTTTAAGTTTATTTTCCATAAATTTGAGAAGTTTCACAATACTCTCCAAGAGCACGCCTTTTTCACACTGGTCCCGGAATAGATCCCTTTTCAAACAGCTCCCGGAATAGATCCCTTTTCACACAGCTCCCCAAAACAATCCCTATTCACATGGCCGGCTGAAAAAAAGCCTTTTTCACACAGTCAAATCTTGGACTACGGAATAGTGTCCCTCGAAGGAGCCAGAAGAGCGTTGACGACGTCAGGACAAGACGAGGCTGATTGAGCGATGGAGGGATTGCGAGAAGCTTCAGGTCATCCTGATCGGCGGCTTTACCACCCACGGAATCGAGCCCAGACTTATACAATCCTTGCGAACAATTCAGATACCGCAACAACAACCCTCACGCTCTGTGATCCAACGTCGAACGACTGAATGAGCCGCTCACGACCTTCCTCATCCTGCAAATTGGCTGCTACAACTCATCTCTTGACGTTGTTTCCTGCCTGCCGGCCGTGCTCCTGCCCTCTGTTGACATTTCTCCCACAACTTGAACCCGAGATCCTGTGTCTCACTGACAGAAGCTTCGGTGGAGGAGTTTGAATCTTCAACGGATCCAGCCTGTACATAACGAGGCAGATGAGTTGGTTCCAAATTGAAGTTCCGACAAGCTCCGAGAGTTGGGCTGTTTTTGAGTCCAGGCCCAGAGAATTTGGGCCCTACATTCGCGAATACGGAAATCGTGCTTACGCCGTGGTGTCAGTCACTGGTGGTGCCTTCGCCTGGATATTCCTATTTCTGAGAAAATCACACCTGCAGTATCTTAAGTGGTTGATTCGTCGTGGAGTAGTCAGTCGTGAAAATTCATATGTGAACTAAGTGAAGTCAGTGGGGTCTGAGCCTTCCTCTTCCACCCAGCGAACTTTTGTTAATAAAAGGATGAGTGAATCAAGTACACATGCTCGATGGTGTAGAAACATTATGATCTTTCCATCCAGAATAAAAGAAATTTAGTGTGGACAAAGTATAAACAATCATATCTTACTAGTGTACAAGTTGCTTGCACGACCAACGTACAACATACTAGATAGTCTTCGACGCTAGACTATATTGGGAACGTAGATTGCGCTGCATATTCGTGATTAAAAACATCGCTTGGTCCGAAAGCTTTCATGCCCACATTCACCAGAAGTTCCAACTTCCACCCAGACGTTTCTTTCCAACTCCAATAATATGTAGTTTCAATTCGTAGAAAAAATTGTCCACAACCCACGTCTCAAAAGACTGGATATAGCTATATATTCGTACGCCATGTTTTATCCCTTCGCTTCCTCTACTAAGCTGCACATGGCCATCCCAAGAGATCCATACATCCAAACATCACGCATCCGCCCACATCTTGCTGCTCGCCAGCTATTTACGTATATACACCACCTTCCACCACTTGGATGCTCCCCACCCCACTCCCCACCCATTCATGTGCACACCTTCTGCCACCCTACATCCTCTTCTTCATTGACGGGACTCTCGGGATCTTGCGTAAGATCGCGTCGTCCAGCTTCCTGTACTGCACGCTCGCTGCTTCCGATGCCTTCTGTGCATGGTGATCGATCACATCCTCGTACTTGTCGAAGATGAACGGAACCACGTGAAACCACACAATGCCTGTACCAAAACCATCGTGTCAATTCATCTGCACACCAAGACGCCTTCACTCACATTCCGCTCCCCAACGCCCACAAACCAAACACATCTAGGCGCATGATGTGTCAATCTACTACGATTCTCCCGCCACCATTCCCGCAGAAGACTGACAACCATCCTATCTGATATTGCATCAAACATCAGTAACAATCGCAAAAAAATGCATATATAAATACTACGACGTCTCAGAGTCGCTGCGAAGGAGCACCCCATCTTACCAATCCACACGCAGGTTAGCAAGTTGAACCAGGAGCCGACAATCGACACAACATACAAGGAAGCTACCACCTGCAAGGCAACGTCAACCATTCATCAAAGTGCTCACAACCTCTGCATCCGTGCCCTTGTGAACACATCACACAAAAAGGCACTCTCATTAAAGACATTTTAACTCTTGCACACACCCTCACCAAGTATCCAATGCTAATGCACGCACTATACAAACAACACCGGTCGATCGCACGAGTACCCTCAAGCAGCGTGGTCGGAAAAATGAAGACCTACCACAAACCATACCCGACGTCCACGACAAGACCTCGCGCTTGAAAGCCCAGTTCACTACTAACGTGCCAAGCACTTACCAATAAAAACAGCTTGAAGTCCTTTCCAAGCGCAACGGTACGAGCGATGTGCAAAGCCTTGTTAACTTCAATCCGGATGAGATTAGCGGTGTTCATAACAAAACTTTCGGAGAGAGACAGCTCCGGTACCGGTGGACCAGCCCTGATCACATTGACAGCAAAAACACATCATTCCGTAGCTATAGTGGTCGTTCTCAACCAGGAGACACGAATCCCAAACGTAACCCAAAGTACCGTTAACCAATACACAAAGAGGTAAAAAGAGTTATTGATTTAGTCAGGGACGCCGTCTAGACCCCCAGAAAAAATATAGCTAAAACAATCGCGGTGTACATGGTGCACATGTTATACGTTGTACGGCAAGGGACGAATTAACTGACAAACATGGTGTTTTAGTTAAGTACCTGTGAAGAAGCGCGGCAATGCTCGACCAGACAAAGAGCAAGACGATCACGCACATAAGGATGTTGCACGTCAGCGTAACAAATGTGTAGCCAGATTTCTCTAGAAGGTACCAGATGGCTGTGGATCCAAACAAAGTTCCACCGGAGAGATACTTATCTCTCCACAGAGCCGAATCAGCAGCTACGTCCAAGCAACAACAAATTAATCCATGGAACGCCAGTAAACGGACCATTCGATAAGAGACTAGAATCAATTAAAAGAAAAAACACTTCAAAAGTCTTGTGATAAACTTAGGTTCCGAACTTCTCAGCTTCGTAGCCTTACTAGCGAACAAGACCTTTTTAACATGGTTAGCCTGATTCATGGAAGCCAGATCAGCATCCCGTTAGGCATCGAATCAATAGGTCATCCACAGGGAAGCCAAGGATTCCTAGATTTGGTCTACCATAGCTCCACTGACAAATGCGGTGCAAAACAATGTAAAGCACTCTTGTATATTTTGCAATATTCACTGAAACAAGAGAATTACATCCGTCCTACCTCGGCCTCCACCCAGGAGCTGGTAAACGGTCTTGTCCTTCGTCAAGAACCGGTTGCGAGGCCCGTACTCTGACGTAGGAGCAGTCTGAGAGGCAGGCATCCTGTTAACACCTTCCATCACAGAATCTGGGATGCTTTGTGTCTGATCACTTTGTCCCGACATCGTGCTTGACTGTGAAAGCCCAACCTAAATGCGTTCGCTTCAATTCTGCAAAATTGAAAGTGGGCTGCATTTCATATCCAACGATGATGAAGATATCATGTTGTACCAGCAAGCTACACAAGAAGATGAACGTAATTCAGTGGGAATGACCAGCTGCAAGATTGGCACAGTAATCAAGGAACAAAAAGTATTGATCAAAAAGAGCCAAAAACCTGTACAAGACCAACAATTGTTGAAGAATAAGAATAAAAATAAAAATCAAATCAAAGTTCAAAACAGCAAAAAGGATCGAGGGAGAGTAAAAGGACTATCTCAAAGACGCAATGAAGCAAGCCAAAAAGGATCGGACTACAATATCATCCTGCTCATCTACAACACGAAGGAACGCACGGAACCCTCCCAAAATTCTCAACCTCGAGCCACCCATAACGTAAGAAAATCCTATCTGACATCCGAAACACTCAGCAACATAAAATCTCGAGCTCAAAACGCCCGCTTATCATCATTCCACATCGAAGCCCTCCATCATGCCTACCCCTCCCCCACAAACCTCACTAAATGCGAAGACTCTTCTGAAATCCAACAGACAAGAATCGCTGTAAAACAACGACGATGACGACCTTCGTCACCACCATGTCAAAAAAAACTCCCTTCAAGCCAAACCTCCGAACGGACTCCTCCACTGCAAGGATCAAACAAACCATGTATCACCCAAAAAACCATGGATTCCGCTCCCATTCTACACTCAGACTCGATCGCTACTCACCATAAGGCGCCCATAACAGCCATGAAAGCTTACCTGTGCTCGATCAAAGCTGTGAGCAATCACAGAAACTGGCCATGGCGTAGACCCAGCAGCAGGTCGGCGACAACCCACACCACCACGGGTCCTGAGGTGGGCGGGCGGGCGTTTGGAACCTGAGCCGGTCGGCCCCGCCCGCCCCGGCCGACCTTGAACAATTCCGTCCGATTGACGAATGATCTTCGTTCCGTGATGGATGCCACAACCAGGGCTTCTGAGGGACCTGGGCCGATCGTCCCGGCCGACCTTGATCCTTTCCGTTCGATTGATGAATGAAATTCATCTGAGGATGAATGTCGTTTATTTTGGGAGAGTTTTGGACCATTGAGAGCTGCCTTCTACCATTAATATATAATACTTATATTTAAAATATATGTATCATAGTGTTTTTAATTTTAAAAATGTAATCCAAAATTTCATTTCAAAATCAAACAAGTAATGTCAAATTTGGATCAAAATAAAATAAAATACAAAATTTCAAGTTTTTATGTTTTGTTCAGCAACCACCAGCTAATGATACTTTTTAACCATTACTTATGTTTTTAAAGATAGTTAAATTTATTATTAATTGTAATATGTCATATTTGAACTGTTATTTTAACTCTTTATTCAAATGATTATTTTGAGTGTACTTATAGTATTTAAAGCTATATGCAATTATAAATCTAAATAATTTTTGAAGGAAATTTATCTATTTAATGAAGATTTAGCTTATAGATTCTATTACTAGCCAAATTTTTGTTATGGCATGTAATGTGCACTCGTCTAACTGCTCTTTTGATTATCCTCTTTAACAAGACATTGACTTTAATTATTTATCTTTAGATTATTCATGGTATAAAAGTATCAAAATCAAATATTTTTTAAAACATTAGTACGCTCTTTGTTGATTGGATATCATAAAACTTTACAAATAAATCTTTTTATCTTAAAGATATCAATAGTATCAAAAAAGTCAATGACACCTTGCAATGACATTAGAAACTAGTAGTGTTTTAGTATTAAAAAATCAAGAACAAATTATTATAACATTAGAAACTAGTGATACTTTAGAAAAGAAAAAAAGAAAAATAATAAAATTTATTTATTTTTAGAAAAGTCTTAAGAATTATGTAATTTTTTTATTTAGATGTGTTTACAAAAATAATTAGAGTACCAAAAGTAATGATGACTTTGAACAATAAGGTGATATTCATTTTCTAAAAAATATTCCAAATCTTAAGTAAACATAAGAAGAATATTTATTTTAATGCTATATAAAAAAAAATTAATAAATTTAATAAATAAATAAAAATTAGAAGAATATTAAATCAATCCAAATAATTTTTCAATCAATCACTCTACTCCAACATTTTATTTCTTTAATTAGGCCACAAAAAAGTAAAAGCATTAATTATTTCAGCAACACTCATGCATGAGGTATTCACAATATAATTGTAAATGAACAAATAAACTTGGAAGATTCAAAATTAAGGAATAGATGAGAGAAGATAACCTGCTTTGGATTGATAAAGTATATATGATGAGGTACAAGATGATAAGAATAAAATTGGGTTAATTTAAGATCTACTTTAGTCAATTTAATATTCTCATAAATTTAATAGAAACATATTATATTTTCATCTTCAAAAAATATTATTAAAAATACAAAATAAGAGATTTGGTTTTTATTTATTTAATCACAGATATGGATAATACTTTATCTATTTTTAGCTCTAATATAACCTTTTAATAATTTTAAGTTGATAAATATATATTATTAAAATATTTTTGAAAATATTTTTATACTTCTATTTTATATTAAAGTATATTAAATAATAATAATAATTTTATTTGTATATTTAATTTTAAATAAATTATTTAATATTAAAAAATTATAAATAAAATTTTTAGCACCGAATAAACCTTTGTTGAAATATTTTAACATAAAACTATAACAACCAAACTCTAAATCAAATGTTGATTTTATTTTTTCATTTTTTTATTTTTTTAAAATATTAACTAAAACAATATCACTTATTACATAGAAATATAGACTTCAACAAATTACTTGGAAGATTAGAGATGATCAAAATCATTAAACATTTCAACAATTATAAACATTGAAGTATTTTGATTAATGTTAATTTATAAATATATTTTAAAGATAAAAATAAATTGTAGTTATTATCTCAAAACATGTATCGATGTATTTTCAAACACACACATACACACACACACATATATATATATATATATATATATATACACACACACACACGATTTGAATTTTTTCAATTATTTCTTGAGTTTAATTTAGTGTTTTCTATACCTATTTCTAAAACCTAATATAAACATTCAACAAAATGAGAATCATAGGAACAATAATCATAATGATAACAATGACATGCATACAGAAGAGCATACTTAGGCAACAAGTTTTTACAAGAAAATCCTAGAATTTTCTTGATTGTTGCTAAAAAGAAGTATAGAGTAAAATTGCAAGATAAAAGGCATTATTTAGAGCAGACTAAATGCCTCTTGTCTGTAGATTGAATGTCTCTTATTCTTGCATTGAATGCATCCTATCATTTTAGTTGCTTGTACCCTTGTATGTTTTATAGTCTTATATTTGCCACCTTTGAAACTATGACAACAACAAGGACTTGTAGAGTTTACCTAATTATTTATTATGAATAATTGACAATGAAATCTATTTCATTGCTTGAACATGTCCTTTGAACAGTTCATATGTTGTTGCCAAATTGTCCATGTCACCAAGTCCATAGCACAATACTTGGATGAAAGTAAGATGGTTTTATGATGCTCTAGTGTCTTAGTATTGTTGATTTGCAAGTCAGAACCAGACTGGTTCTAGAATAATCCCACACATGAAAAACTTTATTTATTTCATTTTTGAGGAGAAGTAATGTTTTGATTTTCGTTAATTGATTATTTGATCTTACCACTACTAAATACAAGAATAAAAATGGGATCAGTTCAATTTAAGCATTTATCTTTTGATGTCACTTTACAAAATTTTAATTTGTGTGTATTTTAATAAGAATACGTATATATATATATATATATATATATACACATACACACTTGTGTGTTTGTGTGTGAAGGAGAGAGAGAGAGAGAAGTAAAGAAGACAAGTACAATGAACAAGAATGACCCAAAAAAATTACAAAGTTATCAAAATCAATATGGGTTGTGAAATGATTGATGCTATTTATTTAAAGTAGCTCCAATTTCATCATAAGTTGTGTAGCTATTCAAAAATATGATAGGGAAATTAGAAGAGACTATTTCATGGCTATTTAGAAATGCAAAGGAAAACTTTTAATTGAATTGACTTATTAAACAAATTTCTAAACAAATGCTGTACAATCGTGTGATTCAAGTGTTTCATATTTTCGATTTAGGAAAAAAATGAGTTCAAAATTTTTAAATAATAATAATAATAAATTAATTACATTGATTTTATTTATTTGTTATTATTATTATTATTATTTTTATATTCTTAATTAAACATCATGATGTAATCACAACATATGGGAAAAAGAAAAAGAAAAAGAAAACTTCATCTTTCTGTGATCATTAACTATAAAAGAATGTATATGATATTATTGCAGATTATTTACTTTAATTTTAAATGATCCAATTATATTATTTCTTATAATAATTTCGTATGAAAAGACTTATCATTTATGATTGAGATATTACTTTCTTGTTAAAAAGTGTAAAATTGCATTTTGACATCCTTAAATGATAAATAGCATGTAAAACATTTATAATTACAAAGATAAAATCAATATTGTTTAAATTTGACTGATTGTGTATGGCTTAGTAATATAATGCATGTGTTTCTATACTTTTTGATTACTGGAGAAAAATGATATAAAATGATATAAAACCTATAAAATCAATTTTTTAAAAAATGTGTTCTAAAAAATGAATACAAAAATCATAAAATCACAGAAGTGAAAGTGTGGAATAATTTCAATAATATGTCAATAATGATAATATGAATGATATTATTTAATAGAATCCTCAAATTTGTGTTTATTCAATAAAATAAAATAAAGGATGTAAAACAAAAACCTAATGTACATGGTATTGTAAAATGATGGTTTCATATTTTTTACTTCTCTATAATTATAATCAAACTTTGTAAGATTTGCAGAAATTTTGCAAAAATAACTTTCTGTTGATTCATTTTCAAAAGCAACAATTACACTTTCATTTGTACTATGTGTTTTATATTTTAAATATTTTAAATTTTAAATTATAAAATATTACAGTAAAATTATTAAGAATTTATTGGACAGACATTGTTGATTATTGCTTGCTATTTTATTTTTATCTTCGTCTAGTATTTCTAAATATAACAATGATCTTACCATTAAAAATAAGAGTGGTTTATGTAAATTCTAAGTAATTTTTTAAGTTGAAAAAAATCATTTAGAATACATAGACAGGTTTTAAAAATACCTTGTAAATTTATAATAAGCTCTAATTATCATATTTATTTTAAAAGCATTTCTTATAAACTCAATTTAATACACTATTCATTCATATATAATAAACATATCCAATATTTGCTTAATTAAATGTTTGCATCATGATCTTTTTTTAAAATTTGTATATTTTATAACATATTGAGATTGATATTCATGAAACTTTGATAATTGTGGCATGAATAATATTCTATGTAAATTAGTCATTGTATCATTTTTTAACTAAAGAAATTGTAATTTGTATGCGATTTTTGTGAAAATTTATAAAAAAATATTTTTTTATTGCCGATCTTAATTGTAGAATACATTTAAAAAACCTCAAAATAATATATCTAAATCTATATATATATATATATATATATATATATACTAAATAATAACATGGTTTTAACAATGTAGGTAACACTAGTATTTGATTTATGATTCTATCATTAAGTAATTTTTAGAATACATTTTTAGATGTTTTGAATCCAACATACAAGAGATTTTCATAAATTATAATATTACACAATGTCAAGCCATCATGAAGCATCTTCATTTAGAATTTAATTTTATGATTATTTTATCATTTTCTATTTCTAATGGCACAAATAAAACAAACCACTTTTTTTGTCCAAGCAGTATGTTGGTGTTGAGTTG